TTATTCTACTCGCTTGCGATGGCGGCTACTAGGTGGGGAGTCCAGTGAATTGTTTCTGATACCGTTCCAAATGACGAATCGGGCTATGCACTGAATTGCAAGTTATCACCATCATCCAAGGAGGGAAGCACACTTCAGTTAACTGTGCTGCGACACAAAAGACATACATGAAGAGGCCGATACTAAGCATAACAAAATACAAAACTAAAAAGCAAGTAATGCATTGCTGTCATATGATCTATGCAGTCTTGGAGGAGGAGGATAAGCGGGAAGGGGAGGGACAAGGCAACTCACAACACAAATGCTACAGGTAGGCTCTTCTCCATGTCAACTAGTGTATTCAACCAAAGGTGTCGCACCGGGTGCCATTCTCACAGTGAGCACTTTCGCCGGTCGCATACTGATCATACTGTTTTCCATTTTCTGAACCTACTGGATCCGCCAGGTCTGGTTAGTTCTGATGCCATGTTTTAGCTCGCGCTAGCAAACTTATGAATTTATATTCTGCTTTTCACCAACTCAGAGACTGTTTGAAAAATCGACGGCTTCACTAGCCGTTCGGTCATTCAGTGTCGGATTATGTGACAACTGTTGGTATAGCAAATGCCTGCTCCTTTATCATGCAGGGTAGCAGAAATCTGGTTTTATCGAAACCCCATGTTGTCATAGAAGTTGTACGAGTGATTTATTCGCAGATCTTTTCGACATGCTCCTCTAGGTGCGTACTGCGACAGATTTGTGGTCCGTACTCGGAGAAATCGTGTGCATGGCTTCCAGGAACACTTCAGAGGAAACAGGCAGCGACTGGCACATGTGCATAGTCGATGAAAGTCTTCTGAAGTGCTTGGTGGTCAAACATTGCACCACCGCATAAAACTAATGGCGGTATTATCTGTTTTGTTTCGCCCTATTGGTGTTCCGTGTGCCTATCGTTAACACCATTTGGAAACAACTGGTTGTGTACTCACAGTTCCATGTCACTGTTGTTCCCCACACGCTGGTAATGACGCCGGTTGCATCTACATAACCGAACTTCCCAAGTGTTTCGATGACCCATATGTATCATCACGTCAGCAGCACTTAGTGTTCCATCTGAGCTGTTAACGTTGCGGACTGTCTTTCTAAGCCTGCGGTATTACGCTTCTTCTGCAGCATCAAATTCGCGGTCATTTGGAATTGTCGTCAGCCACGAGCGAGTGTAGTCTAACATTGTTCTACGCGCCAACTTTGACTGACCATGTTGACATTTTCCTGATTTTCATACAGCCATCAGGCATTCGACGCTCAACAGTCCACTCAAAACCCCGACCCTTCTTTAGCAAAGCGTTTAAGGGTGCAGCTATCTCTAAGCAGCCTTTGGTGAAACACTGGTAATATGATGCCTGCACTAGAAACTACGTAATTCTTCAACATTAGTATGGGTTGACCATAGTCTCACATGTTCCGTCTTACCGGGATGCATCCGAATACCCATCTTTTAAATGGTGTTTTCTAGATAACACTGCCGATTAAAATTGGGTCTACGTTTAATAGACGCATTAACACATTGGATGCTCACCCTTAGTTTTTCTTGTACATTGACGTCATCTAAGGAAACGAGACATTTCCGGGAACTCAGTTCTTACAGCAAATTTTGCAAGGGGTGTTCGCTAGACCAAAATGCATTATCTGATGGCGTTACAAATACCGGTTTCGCCTTATAACTCCAGCGTCAAATAACTCATCTATTCTTGAAAGCGAAAACGTGTCTTTCCCATTGATTTCATTCAGCCGTTTTTAATCATCTTGAGAAGGTGGAATGCCTTGTTAAAGGTGGACGGTTAAACGACGTTCCTCTCCAATAGATTGTCTTTTTATCTTTTATACCTCTGCTTGCCATTGAGCCGGGTGCACTTCTCACTAGTTTGCATCACCCGGATCAATAGTGTGCTTCATGACGTTAGTACGACCAAGCTTTGCTGGTTACCACGCAATAGCATCTGAATGCTTATTCAAGATGCATTTACAACGCTTCAGGTACGCTCCTCGACGAGCGGCCTGAGAGGTTGCGCTGAACCTTCGAGCCAAGAATTGCTCCTCGTGACTTCGCATATCCTGTACCCTTCAAGCCCAACGGGTCCTTGGGGGTTAGCATCACTGTGCAGGACTCGGTGATTAACAATAACGTCACCAGATTCAACTGGCACATCACTTCGCTCGACAAGTCCATCCCGATAATGATGTCAAAAGTGAGCGGTCAGCCACTATAAACTGTTTTGCTTACCTGCGATTGACAACCAGGACATTGGCCCACGTGTAAATAGTATCCTTCCATTAGTGGATGTCAGATGGCATGTACACGGTTCCAACGTGTTCACTGTGAGGCGTTTATGCACATTGGTTCTCAGGAGACTCACAAACCCGTGTCAGCCAACCCGACTAGTGAAACTCATGTTTACTCGTCAGTGATAAACCTGAGATTTTATAAGTCAATGATGGTATTATCAGGGCATTATTACGTGAGTACTCACTTGCTACTGGCAATAGAAGTGCTCCGGGTTGCCATTGATGAGCATGATTGATTGAACCCTCTGTTCGGCCTGCGCGTTGCTATTTTCCGTCGGGTATCCGTGTGAGGGTGCATGTACCCGACTCATTGCGTATCACCACGGCTGAACGACTGAGCACAAAAGTGATTATGGAAGTGACTCCCATCTCTCTCTACTTGTTCGCTCATCTGCAGCCCGACATCGAGTCACTCGAGTGAACGTAGCAAAAGCTCCCTCTTGACGGATGGCGTCCGAACGCGGTTTTCGCACTGCTCAAGTGTTCGTTCTCATACGCGATTTCAACAAACTTCCTCAAATTCTTTACATAATCCACCATACCCTTGTGTGGAATTGCCAGCGAAGATCAGCGGGCAGGACAAGGCTGTCCAGTAGGCTACGAAGAGCAGTGAACTTCTCCAGCGTAACCTCCTTCCCCGTGAGTTTACTATCAACGACAACATCAAACTTGTCTCCTGAAAACGGTCCTATTATGATGGTCCCGTGTTGAGAGGCTGAAGAAGTGCGTACATACAATTGCACTTGTTTTTCCCATCTCGAATAAGACATACCCGATGAAAATCGTTTGGGGGCCGGTAACGGGAGTGTGAACATTCTTGGCAGCAGACTCGTTACCAAATCTTCCAGGGCTTAGGTCGGTGTTTCCAGTACGGGAGAAATTTCGACGCCTGGGTCGGAAGCTGGTGTTTGATTTTCATGGTCGTATTGATTTCCATATCGCTTGGCTTCGTTATCCGGAAGGGTCGCCAACTTATGCAGGCCAGTGAGAACTGCAGAGACTGAGATGGAACTTTTGTTATAAAGCACGTACGTATTATGAAGGGGGATCGACGTGAGGTAAAATGGAATGAACAAAACCTTGCAGTTAACCGTTGTCTTCGGTTTCTTGTCATTTTTGCTAATTGCAAAAGAATTGTGCTTGGAACAGCAAATGGGAAGTGTCATCAAGGCAAATATTCAAATTCCATTGCGCGCCAAAGCAGTTTCCATTCTTCGTTTTAGAGGAACTTTGTTTTTCTGTTGCACATTGCTATGTTGTCTTGTAGTGCACACTCTGATTCCCGGAGTCATGCGTATATGTATAGAAAACCTCGTGCCTGAGCTCTGTGCCACAAGTTTGATTTATGAAGAACGCGCTGGGTATCCTTTTCGTTTCTTCGTGATATGTACCTTTATGTATGATCGTTGATTACTTCTTCAAATTGTCTAACTTGGGGACACATGTATTTATGTATGAGCTATCGTGTAAGACCACGCATGTCGGCATCTGATTCATATCACCAAAGTGCAAAGTATTGCTTCAGGATGGGGATGAGGCACCAACGGCTGTCTCAGTTGCCGACTGGCCACTCGAAGGAGAAACTCATTTTTCCTGATGATCAAATATCCGAAGAAGTTACTGAGCATATCCGTGAGGTTTGTGTCGTTTTTAAGGCCTCTCACCTGGTGACGTGTTATCATTTCAGTCGTGGACAGCAAAGGTGATGTTACCATGTGAATCAGAGACAGGATTACAGCGCGTTGCAAACATTAAAGCATTATTTGTCCTCAATCACGCGTACCCGCTAGGTGCTTTAAATATGAACCGATTGACTAATGTCTTCGTCCGCCAATTTGAGTCTGTTAACAGCTGTGATGTCACACAACATTGCTTTTTGAGTTTACACCGGCATACGCCACTTTGTATCAACTACTGTTACGAATTTTGTTTTCGCGCAATACGCCTACTTGGATGAAGCCACATAGTGATTAAGGGATACCAGTCCGAAGTGGGGCCAAAAGCTTTTATCCCGATGCATGCTGTGGACGATAAAATCGGAACCAGCTGCTTGTGTGGTTAGAATCCCTGTTTGATATGACATGACCAGACAGTCAATGACAGTCAGCTTTGGAATACTATTACCACTTTCAGGTTATACATTTGGTAGCTTATTTGTTTCAGTTCTGTCCATCTTTTCCATACCGGTATTTGTCACTACCACAGCACCTCTAGTTAGTGAAAATGGTGTCGCTTTGTTCTAGTAATGACTACGCGGAACGAGAACGCGTATGTTCGCAAAGCCTACTCTCGTTTGTAGTGTTATTTTTCCCGTGTATGTTTTATCTTCAGTGTGTACTGCATGCTACCGCCACTTTGTACCGTGACACAGTCGAGTAATTGTGATCCATTACTCCTTCTCTTTTATCTCCATTGCTTATCTATTAGGTCGGCAGCTGAAATGCCTTTTCTGACTTTCATGTAACTCTCTCCTTTGTTCTATTCCTTTTTCCTTAACGTCTGGCGATATAGCCATTTGTGACTTGGAAAATCGGACCATATTTTGTCGTTTATACGACTGAATTTCTTGCTTGGTTACTCATTGCTTCTGTTTGTTGGTACGCGGACAAGAATTCACTCCAGTCTCTGCGAATACGTTAGCGTTATCTAACATTTATCTTCAACAACCGTTGTAGAAAAATGGCTCAGTTTTGGAACTGAACGCACACGCCCTGGATAAAGAATTTATACGTGTCTTATTGGACCAACTAAAAGCACTTAACGTAAGTCTTTTACCTTTTGTGGTATTTTGTGTAACTAGTTAACTAACGAAGTACCTGATCTCAGAATTGCCTTAAACACTCCCCGTATTACTCTTGGCGACTTACTACATTTCTGCTCATATTATTATCCCTAGTAATTTGGAGTGAGACTTATGGATTGGTTCTTTGTCCCATTTCGTCATTTGTTGCCTGGTAAGCTATGCATTTCGGCTAAACAGCCATTGTCCAAGCGCTGCAGTTCAATTAGGTTTAAAGGTCGGTAGAGCACACAGCTATTATTGTTGCCAGACATTGACGGAAACGAGGGCAGAAATTGAAACTAAGTGGGGTCGGTTTGTGCGAAAGCTCCACTGATTTCGCCACCGAACCATTGATACAGAGGGACACTGGACCTCCATCCATGAAGAAGACATGTAGCAATCATTCCAAACCTTTTGGTCAATTTCTTCCTACCTTTATACTATGTCACTGACTGGGGACCTGTGGGCTTTTTTCGAAGCACTGCTGATATCCTGCCCGTAAACTCGCGAGACACATATTCTAGTCTATACCGACAGTTCCACTGCAAGTTGGCTTGCTGATACACTTGGTGATCTGTTCTTTAACGCCGATTGGAAGACAGCTACCTCATTCATTCAGTTGTCCAGTCGGATATGAGTGACGTACACAGGCACCAATGTTCAAAGCCAACCAGTTTCTTAATATTTTGAGCGTCTGCTGACCTCTACGGACGCACTGCGACAGTGTTCGCTTTGCTCTTCGCCTGCAATACGAAATCGTGTGCCCGGCTACTTCCTCGGTCACTCGAAGAGGCGCGACTCTGAATTGGTGGACGGGCTAATCAGTTCCATTAGCACTGCTCGCAGAGCTCAGCCATTTTTGGGCTATTAGAGTACACAGATAATATCTACGCCCTGTTTTATTCCAAGTGCAAGAAATCGGAAAAGTTGGTGTTGAACTGCGGGCGGCAGTGCCCGACATTTCTTTTCTTGAAATACTGCCCAGCTGTCCAACTCGACAGAGGTTCCTTACCAAATGCGGCGCGATCCCAATTAAAACTGCGCGTCGCAGTGCATCCGTACTACAGATATTACAAAACAAACCAAAGGTGACCTTCATTAACTATTTGGTTTTATCAGGGTTGGCGGTGCGTTCGCCCATTCCTGCTGCTGTATTTTAAATACATGAATGATATATTTAAACCTACAATATTCTGTTCCGGCGTACCCAGGAATGACAGTTGTTGAACCCATGATAAATCTAGCGTTCGCGTACTCTGGTTTCAGCTCTCCCCTAGATGGATCCTCCACCATGGGTGAAACAAACAAGGTAGTCCTTCCTGACCATTTGAATCACAAGTTGTTAAGGAAAGGAGAGATAGGCAGTCCAGGCATATGCCTCGTGACGACAACTTGTACACAGCCCTAACAGTCGACGTGGCGAGGTTTTGAAATCTAATGCAACACTTACAGCTCACCCTCCGTAGATAAACAGCAGCATAAACCAGTGCTATCTACCGGATTGAACGCGGTTCTTAGGTCAAGGAAGGTGATTGCGATACGCCGTCTGTGTGTATGTTACCTCCTTTTGGTACCTAATAGCATGCGAACGCACTTCCTATCGAAACCTGAGTTTGGTGGCCCCAATAGTTGGCCGAAGTATGGTGTTTGTATCTGGGTTAAAAAAATGAAAACAAGGTTGGTTTCTCAGTGACTTCCGTATGACGTTCTTTTGCTTCCCATAGCTGGTTTACTCGCGCAAAGCCACAGGTGAGTTGCCTGCAGCGGTCGAGCGGTCATCGTCTCAAATAACCTAGCCCACCATATTTGAATTCGGCTTCGTACTCAGTACATTGTAGAGGCTTCACTGGCCCTCGCTATCCGTCAGCATTCCGCTGGCACACCTCGACGATTGGTAGCGTAGCGGCCGAGTAGTCTATACGCCTGGGTTACAACCATAATGTCACCGCTTCGAACCCGCGTAGACGCGGGCGTCCTCGCAGTGTACTCAGCCCACGCGCGACTAGTGGTGGTCACATGGCAGCGAAACGCCGTTACGGCGTACAACTGACGATTTAATATTTATTATGCATGGTCCTTATTTCACCTGGCCGACGGCATCCGGTACCAGATTTGCCTGTCACTGTGACCTTCGTAGGACAGTCACAGGACCTCTGCGCCATACATAGGGACCATGAGTGGCTTGCGCCGCACCACCCACAGCTCCATCCACACACCCCATATCCAGTTTAAACGAGAAGGAGGAAGATCAGAAGACGTGTGGACGGAAGCTATGTCTCATCAATGGAGCCGATCCACACTCATTCAGCAAGCAGAACAGAAGCGCACATGCCTAATTGGGAATCATGCGTACCAGACGTACATGAAACGGTGGTTGGGCCACAGTGCGCTCCACACTGGATGGAACCACTCTTTGAGCCTAACACAACCACGACGATCGTGCACTCCCAGGAACGATTCGCAGTCTCCTGGAGTTAGCAGTCGAGGCGGAGGGTGGTAGACAGCTAGGCACCTTGTCAAGCGCAGCCACACCGGGGATAGCAAACAACCAACATAAAATTTAAGGTAAAGCAAACACTCAAAATTGACACAGAATATGCAGCAGGATACCAGAACTGAGCCAACCAAATAAAGTGGCATGCTTTTTATCCCGATTAAGATCTAGCTGAACTGTAAGTCGGTGTAGCCCAGCTGCGGGGAGAAGAAGCATGATGTATGCTACACCAACCTCAGCATTAGGTTGACTCTCAACTCTACTGAATTCGGCATTTATCTTGGGTACCTGCGACTCGGGGTGCAGTTGAGGGTTCTCGGGTATTCTTCCAACTGGGTATTTGGACTGCGGTCACTTTGGTGTCGCTACACTCCAGTCTAATATGGTCTACTGATCACTTCTCCCCCTATATAACTAACGCGAATCCACTATCCTTACCAACTCATTACATGCTATGCATTCGGACCTCGTTTGTTCATTGCGTTTTTCCGCTACTGGTCGAGGTAACTTCACCAAAGTTGTAGGCATTCCATTTGCGCTACGTGAATGTACACTGAGTAGGCGTTGTGTAAACTCAAAATGTAGGCTGCTTCATCAGTCTATTGAACTAGCGTGGCAATTGCGATCATTCACAGTTGCTCGACAACAAAGTTGCTTTGTTTTAAGTGTTTGATCTTATATTGGACATTCCATAATACCCTGTGTACTGGGGAACCGGCGGTTATTGTTAGATACTTGCAGGGAACCGAAGCTACGGGCATGTCAGCCCAGTTTGTTCTGATTTGTGTGGAAGCAACAAATGAGCCGGGGGTAATGTGGGCCTCCTGAAACACCCGTCCTACGCTGGATTATCGACAATCTTTATTCATTGCAGTATAGTTGTAGTTGGTTACAAGTCTCAACGTTCTAGACGAATTCTTCTTGATTTTGATTAAGATGCTCGCAGCTGTGTACACTCGGCTGCTCACCACATGATCAGTGATGTACTGGGTGGTCACTTCATCTCTTCAGTAGTTACCATTTAGAGTCGTTCTCCTCGACCAGATGGGGAATCGATTCCATGACCACTGTCTCTCCAGTTGGTCTCTATTAACTTTGAGCACTGGAATATGGCTGCGGCACAATAGCTGAGGTGTTTCTCAGCTCCTGTGTAAGATGATACTGATGACAATGAGTGGAATGTGCTGTGGCTGATCGGTCACTTTGTATAAACCGAAATTCAGGTTTGATATCAAATTGTTAGTTTAAATACTGTCGAGTTCTTCCACAATAATCACATGTTTTCAGGTTATAAAATTAAGCGGCGCTATCCTCGATAAGCCTTGTTCACACATCACCTCAATTATTTAAAGACTATTCTCCCTGCTCGGCTTATCATTTCGTATGGTGCACATTTTGTGACTTCTAGCCATCCGGTCGATAGCGACCTCATTTTTTCATTCGGTTTTTTAACCATGCTTTAATCGCTCCTCTGCGCCACCATCTTGTGTGCTTCTGTTAAGCGGGCTTGTAGATATGGGTATGCAAGCTGCCTACTCTACGACGCAGACGGAGTACGAAGTCAGCTTTTCGGAGCACTGGTGCTAGGGGTCGAAACAGAAAGAAAGCGATTCAATGTGCCAAATAACGGTGTCATTGTGCAAATGTGTTTCACACACTGAGGTAGTTATACTAAATTGTACAAGTCAGTGTGCAAGCAGGTGGATGCCTGTTGATCTCGGGTCACGTACCTTGAATCAGCCATGTTTTGTGTACACATGGTGATCAGCTGTCCTCGTGTTCCGTTTTCTAACATTCTGTCTGCTGAAATGGTCAATCAGTGAAGAGCTGGAAGGACAAAACATTGGCTTTGGCTGGTATCCCTCGTCCATCTTGATGGAGGTCACGAAATCAGCCAGATCATTGGTTTAAATGCATATTTCGAACTCAATTCAGTTAGCGTTATCCTCGCATTCGTCACCTCGCATCTTACTCTTCACTGCTCCATTCATCGCTTTTTATTATCTTTGGCTACTCTACTCTGACCTTTTTATTTTCTCCACATTTGCTCGCTTCGTTTAATTTTTTGGTGACGCGCTTCATTAAAATTGTATCCACCCACCTCCGTGCGCTCATCCTTCCGCTTTTAGTCTTCCGGATGGCCCTTGGAAGAGTTACGAGTCACTCCGACCGGGTTGACCGATTCTTCATGCAACTCACAAGGGTCAGCTTAGTCGGTGTACATTATGGATCTCCCGCGATTCGCGGACGTCTCCTACCTCTCATATTCTGCCGTCTGCCATTCAGTTACTCCAACTGGACAGCATCGTTCGACTTAGCCACATTAACGTTACATACATCGTTTGCCATCACACATTGCCCCGAGTTTGGCAAATCATCACTACTCGGAGCAATGCTACTTTATCCTGGTCTTTCTGGTTTGGTCTAACATGAAACAACCATGTTTCCAAGCTGACTGCCGCAATAATAGACAAAACCATGTCAGT